TTCTCTATTTTCTTCTTTTTCTACATTTTCCCCATTTTTCTCTGCTTCCCCTACAGGACAGAAAGGGTCCACCGGGTGCAAAGTGGCCTCTCGAGTTAGGCTCGAGGTCCTCGAAATTCGGGAGATGAGGGAGGCGGGGAGGGCCAATCGTCGATTTTTTCGGTCCTCGAAACGTAAATGTAAACGTAACCGTAGAAATGTAAAAAGAGTAAACCAAGAAATAGAGACGTATCTCTAATAGATTTCAATATTCTCGCCACAAGGAAAGCGATCGTCCTTCCTTTCCTCCTTGTATCTTGGCAGTCGTCCTTCATCCCCCTGTATCCTGTCTCGAGGGGCTCCGATTTTCCTCACGTTCCTCACTTTTGTTTACCTTATTCTCTTCTTACTTTTGAAAGAGACGGAGCGAGGGACGTTACGTCGGCCCGGAGGGACGAAAGGGTGGAATGGAATAAAGCCGGAGGAACTTTTATGGAGGCCGATCCCTCGGGAGAGCTGCCGAAAGAGCTCGGTGTATACAGACAGGGATGTAAATAGCGGAGGGATCGATCGGAGGAGGAATAAAAGAGGGGCGATTTGTTAACTCCGGAGAGCCGATCGATCCTTAACAACAATGCGTAAACCTAAGATGAAACGGATCCCCTCCCTGCTCTTTCCCTCCCTCCTGGAGTCCTTTAAAAGAGGGAGGAATTCCTCCTCCCCCAGAGGGCCGAACTTTTCCTGCGTTAATTTTCCCGCTTTCCCAGGACGGATGGCATGTTCCTCGCGATTTTCGGATTGTTAATTAAGACGCGTCGGACGTGAATTCCGAGGAGGGAGGAAAAAGAAATATATAAATGGAATAAACGCCGGAGTTTCCGCTTCCTCGCCTCCACCTTTTGTCTCCGTTCTAAACCTTCCCCTCGGTTTTCCGGGAGGTGGGAAAAATCCTCCACCCTCTTCAAGAGATCCTTGATTAAGGGCAGTTAATTACTCCCTGCTCGACCAGAATTTCTGGAGAAAAGGGATGAGGTAATTTTTTCTTTCTCGAGGGGAAACTCGATTTTGGGGGTGTGGAAAATTTCGGAAAAATTCTTCCCCTCGCCCGGAGGAAGGGGGAGGGCCCCGACATTGGAAATTGTCAATAACCAAGGAGACGATCGATCGGCGGAATAAAAGACAGGCAACTCCTTCAGCAGGGGGAAGTCGGTCGTTTCTCGAGAACAATGGCCCTCGGCGACTCCTTAAAACCGCCCTCGAATAAAACTGCTCTAACAACCAATCGGAAGCAGTAGTTCCACCCCTCCCTCCCCTCACAAGCAAAGCGACTGAGAAACTTATTCCTTCTCCCCCTCCCTCGTACCCTCGTCACTCTTTCGCAAACCTCCCCTCAGACTAAAAAGAAAGGAAAGAATAAATCCCTCCCAAAAGAAATCCCCTCCCCCTCCGATTAATTCAACCCCCACTTTGCCACCCCCTGAATTCATGTTTGATAAGGGAAAAAAAAAATTGCAGAAAATTGCAAGAACGTCCCCCGATAAAGAGATTCAGGAAATACGAGGGAGGGTGTTTTTCCTTTTTGTCTCCACGTTTCCCGAATTCGGATGGAGTTTTCCTGCTTCCTGGTCCCCGGGGGAATCGGGAAGCCAGATGGTCCAGGAGAGCCTCGATGAGCGATGTCGAGGGGAGGCAGGGGATCCCGAAGGAAAGCCAGGACCCCGATCACGTGACCCGCCAACTAATAACCCCGTCACAACACACTTTTCGCTTTTTCCACGCCGACCCCCCGCGATCCTGGTCCCGGAAAAAAGTGGGCTTGGGGGGAGTCCCCCTACACGTGGATAATCCAGACGTGTTATGTTTTATCCCGGCCATACGTCGCGTACCGCTTTCCTGCATCGCCCTGGGAAATTTCCCTGAGACAGGTAAAATGCAGCTAATTTATCTGGAAGGATTTCCAGACCTCCCACGCGCGGCAGGAATTTTTGTATTCGAGGGAAAGCGCGAATTTCCCGGGGATCATTCGTCGTGGGGAGTGCTTTCTTCCTGGAGGAACCCCACCTGGATAATCCACATCGGGATAATATACCGAATTCCGATCCCGAAGGAAATTTGATTTCCCATCCGGTGTTCCTCGACGTCGACGCGTTGTTTCGCGGGATAGTTCGGGAAATTCGATTTCCCTCCGCGAATGGCGATGAGAATAATTTTTTTTTCCTCTTCCTTCTGCTCTCTATATGGATGTCTCTCTCCTGCTTCCCGGCGCCTAAAGTTCCGTCTCGTAATTTCCATCCCGGGGAGCATTCAGAAACTCCCGATCGAGCTCCCAGGCGTCACCGGCTCTCCCGGATATCCCAGCTTTCCTTCGCGCTTCCTTTCTTTACGATAATCGAATCGTGACGCGACGTGGATTCCCAATGGCATGTCACATCCGGGGCCATTGAAAAAAGTAATCCGGATATCGGGAGGATAAACGAAATTGGGAGCTTCTCGGCCGGCTCGGCAGGAGCGCTCCCGAGAATCCCCGAAATAATGGCTCGCCCTTCCCGAGGGCACGGATCGAAAATGGGAATAATTCGAGGATCCCTCACAATTTCGCTGCTTTTCCTCCCCCACTTCCTTCTTCCGGCAATTAAAAAGACGCCGCGCTTAATTAAAATCCCGCCGGGACGTCCCGAATCCCTAGGGACCCTCCATAATCCCGCAATATCGCGGGATTATTTGCGAAAAAATATTCCGGAGTCCTGCTAGTAAATCCTGCATATCCGCCATGTCATAGACTGTTATAAAATGAGATCGTTAACGACGGGCGAGGAATTTTTTTTTTTCCTGATCCTTTTTTGTAATTCCCTTTTTTTTCATCCCTAAGGACTCTAAGGGTAACTAGGGATTTTCGGCCGAGTTCGGTCCTTTTTCTCGGGACACCCTCGAAGCGACTTCTCGGGTCAGCCTAAATCAAGATGATCTTTTCCCGCTTTTCCCCGTTCTTCCCTCCTATGTTTATCTTTCGGGGTGGTCCTTTAAGTGAATCTTCCCAGGGAACGTCTAATAGAATTGGCACGTCCCTTTCTGTTGGGAGGGGGACATTTTTAAGGGGGTGACTTTTCTCCTTACATATCTATCCCGGTTTTCGGCTTTCCACCCCTGTCTGCGGTCTCGGGAATAAACAGGGAAATAAAAGGAACCCGAAAACGCGGAAGGGTTCGCGCCACCCCTGCCGACGAAATACCTACACCTCGTATAGGGGAGGTTTACTCTGAATAAAGTTCCCATTCGTAAGGGTCGTAAGTGCGAGGGGTGGTTCGCCTTTCGCGCGACGCAGCTCATAAAGCAGCCCCGGGAAACGGAACGATAGAATTTATGAGAAGGCGCGTAAAGCCACCCCCGACCGGGGGTGCGACTCTCGTGGTCGGAGAACCACGTCGAGACGAGAGCCAATCGCCCCTTCCCGAGGGACCCCCCAAGGAAGACTCCACCCTGCGTCCCCCGATCGAAGAATATCGACTCTCGAAACAAATTCCAAGTCTTCCCTCAAGGGACTCGATCCCACCCCTCTTGCCCCCTTGACAGGACCCACCCCTTCTTCTACAAATCTTTATTCTGAACTTCCTCCAAATTGATCTGGAATTTCGGGAATTTCATTTCAGCTTGCAATATTTCTTAAGGAGGCACTGACATTTATAGGGGATGATTTTCTGCGAAACTTCGGGGGTGGGATTTCTTTTTTTAGGGGCGAGCCGGAGGTACGTTTTGGTACTTCGAGGTATACCGTCGATCGGAGATCCAGGACTGCCCCCAGGACTAAGGGCACCATTTCGTGCGGAACTACCCCTACGTTCCCGGAACGCACCCCATTCTGGGCACGGCCGTGCTGGCGCTGCAATTTAATAGTTAGAATCCTTCCCCGGCTCGTCTTCGCCTCGCCAAGGGCGGGTCGGCGAGCTGCGTCAGACGTTTTCGATTTTCGAGCAGGGTGCTCGCTTTTATGCGCTTTTATGCGCCCCGTAACCGCAATAAATGCAAACGACACTCGCCCTGGGCCACCCCTGTGCGGAGGGTACTCGACCAGAAAGGCCATCTTTGCGTCCTTCCGCCCAGACGGCGCAGCTTCCGGGTCCAGGTGTCCCCGAAAATCCTGCTCTTCCCCACCATTTCAAAGAAACTAAGTACTTCCGATTGTCTTATCAGAATGGGTGATAAAAAAAATATACCGCGAGGAAATGACATCGCAATGATCATCCAAGATTTTACCCCACATACGTCATTTTTAATAAAATAAATACCCTTGAAAATATACCGCGAGGAAATAAATATAGAGATGTTCATCCCCAGTGAAGCGCTTCGAGGGTGGAAAGTTCTCGGGAAACCTAGTGTGTCCTACCGTCATTTTGTATTAAAATAAATATTATGGCAATTCTTTTTCTCGGCAGAGGTCGTAATAAAATAAACATCCTTGAAAATATACCGCGAGGAAATAAATATAGAGATGGCCGTTTCCAGTCGGGCGCTTCGATATTCCCTCTTCGGGGATGGAGAGGACCCTGAAGAGGCGTCTCTCTCTCGAGGGTCGGAATTTTCCGGGACGACACTAAAGCCCCGCCGTTTCCGATTTTCGAGAGGGCTCGCCAGATCGCTTTTATACCCCTCGCGGCCGCGATAAATGCAAACTACCCCCTGCGTGCGTTCGGTCTTCCGGTGAGCAGGGGGTGTGTCATGCGAGGGGACGTTCTTCCGTCTTGCAGATACGAGGCCGGGGCTTCCGGTTTCCCGGGGCTCGATCCAGGTCGAACGACCTCGCAACCTCGACCTGACCTTATAAATGCCCAGAGTGTCCTGCACATCCTGGCCGTCCAGGACTTCCGACCGCCCGATTCGAATCCCCAGGAAATTCCCCTATTCCGAAGTTCGGTTTATCGAATCGTCACGTGACTCCCGGTAAATTCTGAAAAATTGCCCCGAATTCCCCAATTTCACCCCGGTGACGAGTTCCCCTCTGTTCCAGGGATGAACGAGGACGAGCGATGGACATGGGATGGCCAATGGCGGAAACCTCGGCGAACTTTGGCCTCTCCTTCCACGGAGAGACGTGGAACGAGACCGCTGCGGAAACGTGGAACGGAACCGCGGAACGGTTCGCCTTCAACGCCACCGGAAACAACGGATCCTGGCCTCTCGACGGAAACGCAAGAATCGAGAGAGATTTCGTCCTCACCGTCGTCACGGCCGCGTCTCTGAGTCTCCTGATCCTCGTGACGGTCGTCGGTGAGTCCTGAACTTTTCTTCTTTAAATATTAAAAAATCATATAAGTAACATTCGATAACATAACGCTTAAGAAGCGATACTAAAACAACATTCAATGAAATTTTCAAGGGTGCGCAGGGGATGGCCAAAAATTATGGGAACGTCTTAGAGCTCCAAACCAAGATCCTGGGAAGTTCGGAAACGTCCCCAAGAAGGGGTTGCGGAGAGAATGGCCGGAAAAGGCACTTCCTGGCGCAAATATGGCTAAACCTGGCGCAATATCTCATTCTCCGACTCCACCCTCCGTTCCTGGGAAGGGGGCGGCAAGGATCAAAGGGGTGCGCCTTTGAAAGGACCGCGATACCGCGCGTGAATGCAATTTCGGGTTACGCCTCGGCGAATATTGCGGGCTTCCTTTTTCTCCCCGAAGATCGGGCTTCGGTCCCCTTCAGGACCACTTCCCGAATTCTCCATTTGAAATAGAAGAGAAATTAGAGCTCCGCCCCAGACTCCGATGTCGGGCCTGTGGTTTCGAGTTTTCTTTGTGGACTCCTCGCCGAGATGGCGCCAAATTCGAAATAAGCGTCGACACGGGAACTAGGATCAAGCTACTAGACGAGGATCGTCGAGTCCACTTGTGTCTATGTCCATTATCCGATTTGTTCCCCGCGATTCGGATGAAACACTGGATCTCATTTTTCTTTTTAAACTTCCACCGATGCATTCGAGTGCGCGAAGCTCTCGTCTAGTTTCCCCGGGAATCGAGACTCGCGTTTAACGCTCGCTTTGGCTCAAAATTCCGGCTCGTCTGAAATCCGAAAACGGCATCGGCCACAACTTCCCCCGATATTCCGGCTCGCCGGGGATCCGGAATGATTGCAACTTCCGAATTTCGAAATGTCCGACCGAACGACCCCTCATCGCGCTTCCGGGCTCCAATTTGAATCGGCCAATTTTCTTTCTCCGGCCCGATTCACGGTATACCCAAGCGAGAAAAATCCCTCTATTTCGATTTCCCGCTCGGCGGTTCGAGAGACGAGGTACGGAACTTAATAAAGTGCGGAACGAGTTGCGGAGAGATCCTTCGAGCGTTGCAGGTGGACGAGGAAGAAGTCCCAGGGGGGTTAGGAATTTTTCACGAGGGACTTCCGGATGCCCTTTGAGGGAGGAAAACATCCTGGAAGTTTCATGCCGTTTTCGGACTCTGCCCGATTTCCAAATCCCACAGGTGTCTCAAAGGATGTCCTCGGAAAGTTCCAAAATGTCGACCTTGCACCACTGGGGGTGGAATTTCTCCCCTTTTACGGATTTCCGGACGGAATAACTGACGGAGGATCGTTCTTGGGAAATTACGATATCACCCCCCCGGAAGGGTGGCCACCCCTTTTTTTTACGACATTAGTCGGAGTTACGCGTCCATCCCTGGTGCTTAAAGGTGTCGCTCAGAAGTCTCCGGGGTGTGCTCCTACCCGATTGAATATCCGCTCGGGTAAGTGCTCGTAAGCTTACCCCTGGCCAGGGGGGTGGTGGGGCGGTTTTTCGAATTCAACCCCTCTAACTTCCGGTCCGCCGACGTTTACTTCCCCTTCATTCGGATGCACGACTCGTAAATCCGTTTACCCCCGGATCAAAAATACCTGCCGAAAAGTGGAGGGAAGGGAGGAGTGAGAGCTCACGTTTCCACCCCATTTCGGGGTGGGACTCTTAATTCTATTTTCTTCTTTGAGGGTGAAGCGAGAAAAAATTTGCCCTGAAGAGCTGGAAATTCGGGATCGCCGAAAAGGGAGGAAATGGGAAAAACGAGACGTCACGTTTCCACCCCATTTCGGGGTGAGACTCTTAATTCTATTTTTTTTTTTTTTTAGGGTAAAGCGAGAAAAGATTTTCCCTAAGAAACCGGATATTCCGAGTCGAGGGAAAACCGAGGATCGGGATTACTCGATTAGGTAATCACTCGAGCGGGTGTTCATTATCCGCAACGCCGGCGGAGCGGCCGAGGGGTAACTTAGGAACTTCAACCCCCCCGAACTTCCGGCCCGACGACATCTATTTTCCCCCTTGGAGGCGCACTTCCACCCCCTGTCCGCGAGACGCACCTGGAATTAACTCGCCCCCGGAAGTCCTCGGGCAAGTTAAAGGTGATCGAGTGCTCAGGTAAATCAGGGAGAATAAATAAGGAGGGTTGGCCACCCCCAAACGGAGAACCCCGACAAATCACCCCCCTATCACTCAGCCAGGCAGAAAACTTCACTCTACTCGAAGAAAAATCTGAAATTCCCCCCGAAGAAATAGAAAAGAAATTGAAATGAATTTTGAAATGAAATACAAGAAATGCCAGGAATGTCTGGAAAATTATCGAATATACGAGGGGAGTGAACGGACCGTCATTTTTCTTTGTTCTTTTTCCTTCTTTCTTGTCCGGCTCGTCTCTCCCCAGTTACGACTGATTGGGCAAATGAAATCCTACGATGGAGCTACAAATCGAGAGTCGAGCTCCCGGGGCGTTTTTAATTAGCACGCAGAGATAACGAAGGGGAAAGAGGGGGAGGAATTATCTTCCGGAATCGTGGGACCCGGGAGGGACCTTTATAAGGGGGATTCTCTCCGGGAAGTACGACATCCAATTAGGGCTCGTTGCAGTTGAAGCGAACTTCGCGAAGCGTCGAAGTATCGCGCCTAACCTACTTAAACAGCGACGCTCCTCCAAATAACAGGATATGCAATTACTGTCGGTCAGTAATTGCGTTTCGCCTCGGTTTCGGGTTAAATGCACTAGTTTACGTGGGTTACAGCCCTCGCTCGCACTTTCCGGAAGCCGGGAATTTTCGAAATCCGAAGATCCGATCGGATCTTCGGATTCCGTCGTCGAACTTCCCGAGTTGAGGAAAAAAATGTTTATGAATGAAGGAAAGAAAAAAAATCCTAAAAATTGTCATTGAATGAGAAAAAAGACGGAAAAAAAATGAGAAAAAAAAAGACATGTCCACGCACAAGAATGAAATTCACTGAGAAGTGCCACGTCGGCCAATCGGTTAGATAATCGATTTCCCATGGGCATTTTTCAAAACATCCCCATCGGAGATCCCATAACTCGTGGAACGACGTTTCCCTCCCGAAATCCGACATCGGTCCGAATTTCATCCGGCGATATTGACGGAGCCTTGCGACACAAGCCCAGTAGTAAATTATCGAAATTGCGGCGTATTTCAACGATCGCAATAACGACGGCCCTCGGAAATTTTCCGAGGAACGTTATTCAAACGAGAGCGGACGTTTCGAGTGACTTGCTTGGCCCTGGGCTAAAATTCCCCGGAAAAAGATGAAAGAGGATCCGCCACATTAATTATCCACAGTACGTAAAGATTTGTCAAATAGCATTTACTTCTCGAAGCAATCCTCCCTGGGCAAACTTCTAACCGAGGCCCGGTTGCATCTCTGCTTCCTCGAGGCCCTCCATTTCCTTTTTTCTGCATTTTCCCGATCGATAAAACTCGAGCCACGCTTGCTCAGCACCCTCCACCCCCGGCAGAGATACACAATGATCTCGGGGGAAGGAACCTTCTTAGGAAAGCGATAAAAAAATATTTTATGCCAGATTAGCAATTTCTCGGCCGACCCACCGGCAGTTTCCCCGGCCGCCATAAAATGGTTCCATTAACGCGTTAACGTCCCGAAAAAAATATGGAAACGGGGAGGAAAATCGGGAGATTTCCCCGGTTTTCGATGCCTCGTCAGTTTTTCCAACGGATGGAAATTTATTTTTCCCCGGTTGGTCTGTATATCAATATTCGATTTTTTTTTCACCCCCCTCTTTCTCCGGCTATTCCTTTTTCCTTTCCAGCTCCCAATCGATACCCCGGGACGTCCGGTCCTCTCGAATCCGTCGGATACAATATTCGCGGGGGGTCGGCCGTGCATCAGCTGATGTGACAAATGCACGCGTGACAGCTCGTCCACTCGACGATGCGGATGCATCTCGAGTGATGTCCCCGGGCGGTGCGCTGATTAAGCTTTAAGTGTCCCGATAACAGGGGGCCGAGATTTCTGAGTGTCCCGTTGGCAATATTCGTCAGAGAAAAATGTCGAGAATTTAATTTAATTTTTATTATTATTAAAATCGCGAAAATTAATTTTCATCCCCTCGCGATTATTCATTTTCGATTCATTTTCGAGCAAAACTCCATTTCCTGGGGGTGTTGGGAAGTACTTTAACCTAGTTACATTTTGGATCTGGTGGTTTGGTGATTTTTTCGGGGGAATCTTCAGACCTAATGGGAAGGTCCTATATCTTGGGCGTCGAGTAGATCGGCTTAAGCCGATCCCGGACGAGCCGCAATCTCCCCATTATCGCCTTTAATCCCGGTTTTAATCGCAGAATCGGCAGGATCCTTCGTTAAGGTACTTTCTATCGAGAGGCAATAAACCGACATCCCATCTCTTCCGATGGGTAATATCTCGGGTGGCAGAAGGGGGTATCCAGTCGCGAAGAGCGCAGCTCCGGAAATGAGAAAATCGAGATATACCTCGTTCGACTCGATTTTCGAGGTACTTTCTAAATCCGAGCCGGCCCGATAACGCGTCCGGGTCCTCGCGATCTCGAGGACCAATTTTCCCGCTTGTCGGCATTAAAAATCCCCCGTAAAATCAGGCCCTCGATGGCGCCCTCCTCAAACATCCTCAACATCCCCTACGAGGTCTAATTTCTCCGATAAATTCCCACGACGGCCGATTTCCATAATTTTTCATAACTAGCCCTTATCGCACCTGACTCTTATTTCACCCCCTCTACTTAAAAAGTCCCCGAATAATTGAAAGGTAAATTAATTCAGGGGAAATCGCTCGGTTACTCTTTATTCTTTCCGGGATACGAGGAGAATGGACGGCATTTTCCCCCTACTTTTTACTAACAGATTCGGATTTTTCCTTGGCGTTTAATTAAACGCGACAACGAGGCACGTTGCGGTGGGTCAGTACTCCCCCCGGGATAAACGGACGTGTAGCTGTGCATTGTTTCCCGAGG